AATGTAGTCACGCATATGAATGAAATAATATGGCCATAAATATGGAGGTATGCGCGTGAATCATCGATAGGGCAGGACCGAGACGAACGGAATTGTACGATCACGTTTTGCTGTACAAATACATCCGGTATCCGGTTCGAGCACGATGTCAGCAGTCGATGCCAATGAACCGTGATCGAATTCCGATTTCGATTACTGGTCTCTGTGCGAGCAACGTTCGCTTTCTCGAAGGTTCTTTCAATCAATTGCGAAATGGCATATAAACAGGCATTAAAATTATTTCCTGAAATCGAACTGGTATTCATTAAAAAACTCTGTACAGGAAGTGTGGAATTTGAACAATTTATTTTTCAATGCGTTCAAGTCTTTTAATTGGAAAAAAATTAAAATTAAAATTTTCGAAAAATTCTCTTAGAATAATATTTTTCATGTGAGTTATTTTAAATATTTGATTAATTTTTAATTTGCCAAATTTATTTTAAATATTATTAAATAATTTAAATAGATTTCTGGAATAATTGTTTCTACGAATTTTATACAGACTCATCTTTTGAGAATTTCTCTAAGACTTCTTTTAGCTCGAAAAATTAAATAGAAATAACCGAAATAGTCAAAATAAGATTTTTCTACCAATTCTCGCGAGAGGGTAACAATCTATTTTAATCATCACTTCATCAGAGTCTAAATCTAAAAGCTGCTATTCTCAGCACGCGTTTTACCATAATAAACGCGACAAAGGCATTTCGCTATCGCCATCTGTTGGAGAATGCAACGAGCTCCAACTTTTCATTAGGTGCATTCGATGCAACAGGACCGATGTAGGCAATACTGACAGTACATATATTAAATATGCGATAGTGCCATTTAAAAAATATCGCATGATATCTTAAACCGCATGTTCTATTAAGCGAAAATATATTATCTTTCTGGCAATTTGAGAATCATAAATATCACATATCTTTATGATTCTTCGTTGGAATTATTTTTTCAATAAAATGTAACACCCAAAAAATCACTCACCCTTCTCCCTGAAGTCTATTATCTGCTACTTGCATAGGTAACGGTGCAGCTAACTGTCTGACTAATTCATCCCTCTCCCTTTCCTTTTGTTGGATAGTCTCCTGCAATCTTTGCTTCTGTTTCTGGTATTCTTTAAATAGGCCACCATTGTAACTTTGTTCGAGATTGTCGCTAGGAGCCACCATCGCTCTAATCGGTATCACGGATGGGTCTGTAATTTTAGCTGCAACTCCCGTGGGCTTTTCGGCCAAGGAATCTCTTCTGGAACTCCTGGCAGTCGAAGGCGCCGGCGATTCTCTTCCGGCCATTCTACGCTCCGGCGTGGATGTCGCTGAAGGATCCATTTCCACGCCTACATTACAAAAATTATAAAATTTTGAAATAATTTAGCTTTTTACATAATATGGAACTACACACATATACAAAACAATACATTTAATAAATTCATCAGTCGTAGAAATAATGAAATTAATCAAAATTAAATAAATTAATTGAAATAATCAAACATATATTATTAAACATGTATTACATGATTAGGATAAAAAAATCTATCATTTTTTTCATTCAAATCTTTTCATAATATTTATGATATTCTATTGTGCACAAAGCAAAATGACTTATAAAAACTTATAAAATATAAAATTTATTTTATAATCTCTTACCATCAGGGCTTTTGGAGTGTCCTCGAGTCCTCGGCGGAGCCTTAGGTTGAGCATTCATCGCGGTCTCTTGTATCGAGGGTAATTGTTGAAATTCAGCGTAATTCGAGCTAAGGAAGACGTCACCCTCATTCTCAAAGAGCCTATCGACGCTAGTATTCATTAATTTGTTGTTTTTGAATCCGGTTAAATGGAAGCTAGCGAACGACGACCTGGACATCGGGTTTACGTCGCCGACGGATAGCGCCATAAGCGCCGCTGATGGTATAGATGTATTCTTAGGACTCCTGGGCCCGAGACCAGCTTCCAAAGCCGGCACTAAGCTACGAGACATCATGTCTGCGGCAGATCTCGGCCTAGTAAACGGCATGGCGCTGTGCGGAAAAGTCTTCGGTTTGATCGGCGTTATCAACATATGCTCCGTCCACGAAGTCTCCAAGGAGGGCCTCTCCAGGCGCTCCACATCGACGTTCAGGGTTCTTTGTGCAAAAGGTACGGCGAACGTCTCAGGAGGTATACTTTGAAGCCATGAAAGTAAACTTAAATCCGAATCGCTAAAACCCACGGATCCATCCAGCAGCCTCGAAAAACTCATCTCTACCTATAATATAAAGACGTACGAAAACATTTAAACAAAATGAAACTACATAAAATGCGTACTATATATCATTTCCTTACTTCAAAAGTGATACAACTAAAAAGTGTAATTTTCGAATTATTATCATGAATGAGTCAGGTAAAAATTATTCTATCAATCATCAAAAGTAAACCAATTTAATTTCAGTCCATCCGCCAAATACATATAGCACTTGTATCATTTTTAACATTTTCAAAGGGATCATAATATTTTTTGCAAGTATATTTTTGACGTATATTAAGTTTTTCGTAAATAAAAAGGAAAGTCTCCTACAGAGAACACTTAGTTTATTAAGGCAATTTTGGTTATAAAAGTTTGAAAAAGAAATTATTTTATTTTAAATTATTTTAGCTAATAAAAGTAAATATAAACTATTGGTGATATATAGAGTTATGTCACTTTTAATAAATTATTCCAGATTTGTAATAATTTTGTAGGATATCAAAATTTTCAACTCAAAAAGAATGATTTTCTAAGAGTTATAAAATAAAAATGATAAACTTGACATTCATGTTTCTTATAAGGTATAATTTTTACCGATATTATTTGATTAGTCGATAATTTTCTGTCAAGTTGAAAAATAGTTCTGCCCCTTTTTTGAAAAACTTGATTTTTTCATTGCGTCACTTTTGAAGTAAGGAAACGATATAAGAATAAGAATAAATGTAAATATAACATGTATAAATAAACTACCTAACATTTTATTAAGTAATGATATAGTCTATGTCTACATAAAAAGCAAAAATAATTTTAGTTTGATGTAGTTTGAGAAAACTTCCAATATTCTTTATTAAAATAAAGCAAAAAGAACAGACGAGAATCACCTGTTCGCTTTCTTTCGACCCAGTAGCTTTCGCTTGACAATAATTTACGCAGGATTCGTACAAAATGCCTTTGATGATAAGCTGAATAAGCCGATCGTTTTTCGCCGAGGTAATTGGATATGCGGAGTCGGTACTCTTCCGATCACCCGGCAGGAACTTCTCTACCAAAGGATGAACCTCGCGGAAACATTGCACCCTCGCATTACTGGGATTCCAATCCTTGTACTGTAGATGATCCGTTAGCCGTGGCAGAGTAAGCAACAGACACAGGCTGCTGTACTCCTCCTTGGAAGGCGCGACCTTTTCGAGATCGCTCAACACCTTGACGACTTCTTCTACGGCATTATCGACGCTGCCGTTCGTCCCAGCGGCGATAACGTTCGCCTCGGATTTGATGCACAATAGCTCGACATATTTGTGGCGCAGGATCGAGTACGTGAACTTTCTCATATCGAAGTCCGACAGCGCTTCCAACGGTTGGATGAACTCGAGCACGTCGTCCCATTGTCCGTCGAGGATCAGCTGGCGTAGGAAAAGCACATCGTCGCTGTACTGGCCGTTTATCACGCCGGTCTCACGTTCGAGTGAGAGCTGCGAGATGTGAAGGTCGCGGCTATGGAGGAACTCCAAGGTCAGGCGCACCACATCCTCCTCGCGCAGCGTCAGATGCGCCGCCGGCATCACGTACCGAATACGCAACCTGGACCATTTCATTAAAACATAAAATAGCATATCGTGCCCCATAATCTTCATGTACTGTATGAGGTATCGAGACCAACAGATACCTTGTAAAAAAATGTTTATCTAGAATATAGAGGTAATTCAAATTGACAAATTTTTATGCTGATAATGAATTTTTTACAGAACGTTCTTAAAATCATGTTCTGCTAATTGAATTATTTTACAAAAATTCATTTTACAAACATTCCAGTTTCTGCGAAATATTTCAGATTTTTCGAGTTACAATAGCTTCGTGTAGAGAAAATTGAAATATTCGTAATAATAACATTTTGATGTTTAAAAGTTGAATGTTTTGCCACAAATATAAAATAATTTTTACATTTAGAAAACTTCATATTAATATGAGAAAATTAAATACTATTATCTAAAATTCAATTATAAAGATGAAAATTTTGCTTTTTAACTCCCCATCTTTAAAAACTTTGCATGTAAACGCAATACAGTATTGTGAAAACGACTTTTCATTCTGAGAAATATTAAAATTATAGAGGATATTAGAAATAATTTTACACGATATCATTACTATATAATATCTGGAAATTATGAAATCGCTTCAGGAATTTACCTCTTGATTTCAAACTTCGCGTGTTATAAAACGAGATAACGATAAAACGCAGACGAAAGCTTGCTTAGCGATATTTATATATTCAGAGTGGCCCGCAGCGAGAAAGAAGTCTAGATCAACGTCTCGGCATCCAGCTACCCACTTACGCAATAATCAGGGCACGTCTATGGGTGCGCTGGCCCCGAAGTGCAACGAACTCTCGCGAGGAAGTACTATTTCATGCATTCTATACATGCATATCATTATTGGGTTTCGTAATCATGCGTTTTACAACAAACGGAAGTCCGAGTCAAATAATCCACACGAATCGTGATGATCGTTACAGTTATTTCGCAAGTTAACTATTAAGCAAACGCATGCCGTTTACGACATAACGCGAGCACGCGCTTTTTTTCAATTAGCAAATGTAGCAATTTGCATTTTCCAGAATGCGAATACGAGTAATGCTATAGTTTTTTAAAGAAGCCACAATGTGCAAACTGCTCAAATTACGGAATATACGAAATTCCTAACATCAGCAATTCTATGGGTATTTACAGTTGGTGACAGACCGAGGAGTCGTGTCAGTCTCGGACGAACAGCAAGAGCAACAAGAAACCACGATGTTTCCGTATCGAAGATTAGTGAGTAAATTTTTCTGATATATATTTTACATTTACTTAACATTTTTATAAGCCTTTAATTTCTGAAGTTAAAACTTTTCATAATTAAACTAAATATCATCAACATTAAGCAGAAATTTGGTGGAAATTAATACATAATGATTAATGAAGCATTTATTTCTTTTTTTTTTTGTATTTTATTCTTCGTTTTTTATTCAATTTTTATATTAAAAAAAATAATAATAATGTATAGTAGAATAATACTCTATAGATACAATCTCACTCAATGATTTCAAACTGTTTAATAAATACTTTAGGAAACAAATTTCTATCGTATTGAATATCTATTCACAAACAATCTGCATGAAATTTTCTTAAACATTTCAGTTCTTAGCAGTGACAATCTCGTTAACAAGTGTTGTACTTGGCGATGTCATCGTTCAACCCGGTTATGACCATTTCAGCAAAAATCCATACTATTTGCAACCTGCTTCGCACCGAATAAACTCTCAGACTGAACAATATCATACGAAACAATTACCGAACCAAGAATTGCAGTATCTTCAGGCTGCTCGAACGGTGTATCCCTATCATGAATCCAAAGATTATTCATCAAATCAAGTGGCCTATCCATATCGCCATGGAATGTATTCGCTAAGGCACCATCCACATTACGCAAGGATAGGAAGCCATGGATATTCGCGGCCTTCGGTATTCGTCGGCTATCGACAACCTTCGGTAAGTGCTCATCACATTGTTAACTTGACATATGTTTCATTCACTTAACTTGACAATATTTTATTATCATCTCATTGATATCTTAAATTTCATTTACTTTGAAGAGTGAACAATATAAAACCTAATATCAATTTGACTTGTGCAATAGATATATACGTCAATTATATCACAAAAGCTTTTCTTTGAGTAAATTATAATTAAATACTGATCTTGTACATGCAAATTGATCCTATAACTTATTGAAGATTTCTTTAAAACGACATTTCCTCAGATAGGACACTACCACTGGGGTAGTCCGTACCACCACCACCACCGGTACAGAAGGTCACTTGACTCCGATTCTACAAACACGGAATCCAGTGAATCTGCGAACGTTGCACATGACAATGATGTGGCCTCGAAGTCGCCCTTAACCGATGATAAACATCCTAAAGCCACCGACTCGTTACTTCCAGAACAAGAGCCTACTGATACTAATGGTAAATATCTTAAAGAACAAAAATAAAGTTCGATATCTCTCCATAGGATAATTTAATATGCTATCTATGTACTACTTATTTCCACGAAAGTCGCGCAATACCAATTTATATGCATTATATGAATTCCAATGAAATGCAAACGTAAATTAATGTATCGATATTAATATAAATCCATATTAATATGAATCGATATTAATATGAACTTTCAGTGTAAACTAATTACAGATAATTTAATTACAGATAAGCATGTGGAGAACCGTCAGATCACTTTTGATCCTATAACAGGTCCACGTTTATTCGGCATATATCCACAAAATATTATACGATTCCCTGAAGAACCCATAAGGGAAAACACAATGCAAGGGATTATGCAAGATCCTTCCATGCTCAATCCGAGCATATTAAATTTTGATCAGAATTCTCAGAAAAATGAACAAGATTGTACATGTGGAAATTCACATCTTGTTAGTAATAAGCCTTTTTCACATGTAAGATTTCCGAAGGAATCTTCGAATTATGATTATAATAGCGAAGCTGCATCCCCGAGATGGTCGGGGAATTATTTTGGTAAACTCCTTTTAGATAACATGAGACATCAGTGGGCTGGATACTATCACACATATACTCCATCATATACTTCACCAGCACCTAAGCCTCTAACACTGGAGTCGTTATACATGAAGCTCCTACGTAAATATGAGCTGGTAAAGGTTCTCATATTAATATAATTTGTTTGTCATTAGAAATTATTTTTTGTCCGATTCATAAAAATTTAATTAATTATTACGACTGAAATAATAGAGGAATCTTTTACGTAAATATTTTCCAATTATCTCACAATTAAATTTGATTAATAGAATTCACTACTTGCAACTTTAATATCGAAAAATCTGTTTTCTGCAACGTAAAGTATGTAATATTCGTATATGATTATGATATACTATAAAATATGTTATATAATCTTAGAAAGAGAGAAAAAAATGTTTTTACAAATAATTAATAAATGCATTCTATACGTAGCTGTTGCAGATCGCCAAACAACATAGCATTCCAATTCAATTCCTAATTCAGGCAAGACAAAACGACATGCCTTTTTCTCAAAAGTTTTCGAGTACCACTGATACACCGATAACAAAAAATGAAGAGGACGCTTCATGGACACCGGATACCATTGAAATAACACGTTATCTTGAACAGGATCTACCTGAATATATGCCATTAGTAAGTGATTCCGATCAAGATAATTATCCGCACCATTGTTTGAATTGCCATGAGAATGCTCCAAACTATTCTTCGGACGATTCCAAGGACAATTCAGATTTCCAGAGAAACTCTAATTCAGCTTATAGGATCGAGCCTTCAATTTCGATCCCTAATTATGATCTTAACTATGCCCCTGACATCGATATCTCTGTTGTCCCTGACAATGAAATTCACAAAGATTAGTGCTCGGAGCAATTTGACCCCGATGTGATACCGCAGACGCAATCTTTAGACGCGTACAATTACCCGTCCCGAAAGAGAACACATTCTACTAGATTATAGATATTATAACAACTATCCAAGAGTGATACGCAACTTTATGACACGTTTTCGTCACCAGTTTATTATTAGTAAGGCGCTTCTATAGATATGACGCTGTTATCGATTCTTGCCACGTTACCTTGAAGTAACGAGTCGATTGACCATAATGATTTTCATGTTCTATTTATTATAATTACTCTCATGCACGTATAATTTTTTATAAGCGCACATCCTCCGTTCGTTCGGTAATTGAACTTTTATATACAATTTTCTAAATAAGAAACAAAATGTTTTATTTCTATGTTAAAAGTCTATGTGTATGTACTGAGATCTTAAATAAATGTATTTTATGGGAACATTATTATATTTTCTTCGTTATTTTTTAGCGCACTGTAAATTTTATATCATACCTATCATGAAATTCTTAATTACTACTTAAAGTTACCCGAATTTATACAATATTATAATAATTTTGTTATAATCTTTTCATTCTAAGTTTCTAACGTGTTTAAAAAATTATTAACCTTATTAACCTTATTAAGTAAACGTTACTTTAGTAACACAATATAAAATTGATAATACTAACTGTAAATGTAAATCTAAAACATCTTTTTGATAGATAAGTTAATCAACGAGAACACAGTTTCACGATTAAATAAAAAACGATGATATTCAGATTACGTATCCAAAATCATAAAGTTTCATCATAGAATAAATTGGGAACACTTTCACCAATAATCCTAACTTTGATTGTAGCCGATAAGCATACACAGCGATGAAACGAAAATTCAATTTCAGACAATTTGCTAGGAGTTAATTGAGAACGCGGGGATCGTAGCGCTGTCTGTAAAATGTGCGAATGCCTACCGGAAAAGGAGGGCAAATACTGATCGAGCAATTTCTGACTCGACACTCGGGATGCATCTCGCTCTGATGGAAAGCAATTTCTTTGATTCCGTGGAAAGCTGTTCTCGATACGCGAATGTTTATCTTTCGTTATTTTTGTTAGTAAAACAAATTTGGCGAAAACGCGATAAAAATTGATAGGAGAATCATATTTGTTTTATATTTGCGCGAATAAAATTGAATAGCAAGTTCTAACAAACTTTAGAAGTAACATTGAACAAATATTAAATAATAGATTGCGGCTAACGTTTTATGAAATTAATTGATGGTGAATCGCAAGATACATTGATCGAGATGCATAATTGATCTCTTCAAATGGATACGTAATGCATGGCGGACAGCTGCCGGTTGTAGCAGGTCGTAAACTTATCTTATTATAACGCGTCGAGGTAACGGAGCACTGAGGCGTTTAAAGTGCGTTGAAAGTTATGAAACGAGACATAAAAAAGTACGCACCGTGTTTACAGCGATGTAATCGTCAGCATTGTTGCGTGAACATTATCATAAAATAAATTCGGTCTTTTGTACATTAATCTCAAACTGAGTTTCATCTAAAGATCTTCTGAAGAGTCTGACATGAGAAAGCCACTTTTAATTGATCCATCATGTTTTAACAATTCCTGAGAGAAAGAAAAAGAGAGAGAGAGGAAATATAAAAAAAGATATAACAGAATGAGAAAGAGAATGAAATAATAAATGTCCTTTTCTCTTGCATAATTTTGTTAGAATTACCACCTTACATACAAAATTATGACTCGTGTCCAGATTCTTAGAGGATCTCTAGTTGCGTCCTCTTTCAAGTTGTTTTAAGTTAATGACGTTGTAAAAATTTTAATGATAAATTTAAGATGTAATAGTGACAGCTTTATTTGTATCATCTTACACAGATATTAAATATTGCCGTTACATACAATTGATTCATTTGAAATTTAAAGGGAAGTCAAACGGAAGTTACGAATTGTTAGTCAAATGTTCCACAACGTTTGGCAAAATAACGTCCAGAAGAATCAGCCGTTACACCCGTAACAGGTGAGTTAACTTTGTACAATACAATACAATTAAGCATTAATTAAGTCAACAAGGAATCCTAATTGTCTGTCAAAATATATACGTACACAGCACATTATCACATCACATACTGCCAATTAATATAGAAAATTATTTTTCAAGATTGGAAAACTCTTGAATTATAATATGGAATTTAAAAATTTTTTTAGAATTGTTCTATAATTCTACAAAAGAGGGAATTATAAGGAATAAGGTAAAAAATCCCCGAAATAAGAATATAAATATTCGACATCCTTGATAGACTAAAAAAGTACTTGAAATTATTCTATTATTAAAATTAATCTATTCTTCCTATTTTTTCCATATACAATCTTTCAAATATGTAAGATTTATCACTTTATCAAGCGTTTAAGATTTTGTTGAAGTTTTTGATGCAATTGATACTTTAGATCTTCAAGACGGAGAGAAACTTCAATGTATTAGTTGTTTGTGTTTTGCAGAAAATTCTCAGATCTTTTCATATGTCCATTCTTCGCTGTTCGATAATTGAAGCGTGTCGAAGTTTCTTAGTCAACAAACGGTTTCATTATAAAAGACGTATAATCTCAGATTGCAATTCGCAAAATAAAAAAAACTTGAAACGTAAAAAGTGCAAACGAGGGAATTTCAAAGGGAACAACTCGTAAGTCCGAGCTCGTTGCTAAGTGCATTTTACCGCCCTTCCCAGTCCCCAACTTCAACTTTGACATCTCCTTGACTCTTCGCCGTGACTTGCACTGCATTTCTCGCATTCGGGAAATTTCAACTTGCCGACATTCACATATTCTGTTTTCTTCGCAACGTTATATACGCAGGCGGCAAGGATCGTTTGTTAATTTATACCACGACCTTTGAGGCAATCCAATATAACGGCGCATCCTTCCGCAGGACAGAATTAATCAAGCATGCAAACGAGAGGAGAGTATCGCTTTCGCAGATCACTTTGCTTTGCACACATATCGATTTTTCCGGTTAAATGAACAATGAAACCTTCGCAATTATAGGAAGTACGGATATGAAGTTTATAATTCCTCATTCTAATAAATTAATATTTATAAATAACGTTAAGTTGTTACAGTAATTATGTTTTATATTAATGCTGAAATATTAAGAGACATAGTAATGTCTCATGCCAAGAATACTTGTAGCGTAAGATTATCCTGTGTATTTATTAATATTATATGTACAAGCCGGCTACTTGCGAATATCCGAGATTATCCGATCTCAATAACAGTTGAACGAATCATTTGACGTAAAAGCATCAAAAATATTTAACATAAAAAATTGTACGCTGCTACAAATTTAATAATATCCATAATCGTATTATATTACAGCAGCGTCAAATTTTCTATATTAAATATTCTTGACGCTTGAATTGAAAGAGAAGTGATGGTTTATCATTTACGATTGCTTCTTAAGTGATTTCTAAAATAAGAAATTTTTAAGTATATAATTTTTTCAGTATTACATGATGATGATAGTATAAACCATAGTATAAACCATAGAAAAAAATAAGATTAAAATTTATATATGAATATGTATAATAAGTTCGACAATCCAGTTAAATATTAGTTATTTTCCTATATGCGAAAAAAATTTAATTAATCTATCATTTACCAGTTTTCGCACATTATTATACGTTAATTGTGCATGTAACCTTAGATTATAATAATAAAAACCTAGATAAATACTTTAAATAAAATATTAAAAAATTTAGACGTATATTTTAAATAAAATACTTCGAGAAATTCTTTTTTTTTTTTTTTTTTTTCAAAACTAGAGATAGAAAGAAAAATATGGGCTATATTATTGTAGTAATGCAAACAGCATCTTTGAAAAAACTCGGAATTCGCAATCTGACGGAAGTTGGGTGCGAATATGTTGGAAAATTTACATTGCCTGCAGGAAAAAAAAACGGAAAATATTGTCGCATGACCTATCTCTGTGGGTAAATCAAGCGTCGAATACCGGTACCGGTCTCGGCTTACGGAGTCAAAGCTGACCCGCTGAATACCTCCATTACAGGATGGTTAATGGTTTCTTTGCACCACGAAGAAGATTCCTCCTTAGAAATATTGCTTCTGGTTGGTGAAAAAGCAGAAAACATACTCGCTCTTATCACTAGCGTAGGAGAGGTTCAACGTACTGATATCAAATTTAATATCACATCGCTACAAGTTCTAAGTTTAACGCACATATCTCAGTGGCGTTCAATTAAATTCGTCAACGTTACATTCGTCGCTAAATGAAGTCTTATGACTCTAAATTGAACCTGTCATCGTTAGATAAATAAGAGATTAATTAGATTGTTTTCGCAGATGTGTGCGTGTGTGAAAATAATATATTTAACTAGTCATATTACACATGTGTTAATATATAAATTTTAATCTTATTTTTTTCATTTAACCTCGCTAAATTCAAAGAATCTATTTCGGTTATATTTAGCACGTATACGCATAATAAATTTAATCAAAAAACTCATAGTGTTTTCTTCTACAATAATAACGCATTTTTAGGAAATCGCAAATAATTGTAATACATATCACATGAAAAGATTGTCTATAATCAGAGCATTGTTAATAGTATCGTTTTCTGACATGATATACTTTGCTATATCTAACGATGACTCATCGGTGCATTTACTATTACATGCAAAAACGGAACTGTTAACGATGTTTCGATAATTATAAGTGGCATTTATCACAATATATATGAAATCATCTTTAGTTGCGAGGATGAAAAATATAACATTATATAAAGAAAAAGATAAAAATAAAAATTTACAAGCGTTGATTATCAAATGTTTGTAATTGTTATCTGATCGTTGTAAAATTTTTCCATTATGGAGAAAAAAATAGAACCGCACCATTAAGATTTTTGCAATGTGGAAATCAAGCTATCGGAATCCGTGTATAAAATGAGCGAAATCGAGATACAAGACTAATATACTCATCTAGTAAGCCAATAGAAAATCAGATTGATTGGAAAATCGTATCACCAAGCAAGTTGATTCTCAGGACGATTTTGTTTAAAATACGACTAAAAATATTAGAGATATCGGTAATAGAAGAGAATGAGGCAAACAGAAATCGTGCATGATTATCATAAATAATTAACATATTTACGTCTTCTGGGCCGCGCGTTTGTACGTCGTGGTCAACATTCACGCAAGGAGGCTCCAAAATTCCTCAGCAACGCACATTACACGCGCGACGCGAACATTTAGAGCAAGGTATATAAGAACGAAATCGGAGCACGTGGTCGAGGATGCATA